GAGTTTTTTATAGTCTATCCCAGCCGTGTTTAAATATAATAAAAGTAACTGGAAAAAAAGAAGAACCCAAAAGGAAATTTAAAAAAAAAAAAAAAAAAAAAAAAAAAATCCCTTCTTAAGTCTGAAAGTTGATTAATGTTTTTTTAGGTATCTAACCACAGTTATAATGACTAGTTTAATGAATAACTGGAGGCAACAAAAATATTCTTTTGAGACCATTCCTCTCCTACAACCTAGATCTGTTCCCCTGTTCCACGCTTGCTTGCTCACCTTTGTTGAAAACTGACCCAGCAAAAAACAAAACAAGGCCACAGATTTTGAGATATGTCTTCGGGTCATACTGCTCAAGAAAACACATCTCTCATAGTCCTGCTAACAACTGAGCTAACAGGACTGTTACCGCTGCCCTGGGAGGAAGGTCTCGGTTCCTCTCCTGTACCGGCTCTAGCACTTATCAGATTGAGTTACCTGTTTTCTGCCCTCTCTGCGTGCGCAGAAAGACGAAACCCTCCCCAACGGACGAATAATTTGGGTGTTAGGGAAGAGGGGAAGTGCAGGGAATCCAACACAGGCACTTGTACAAGGTAAGCAGCGGAAGCAAGGTAATAAAGACCCCTCTCATCAGCAGTAATCTCACAGCATCTCTGGGAGTCACACCATCTGTTAGGTGCTCAGCACAAAATGCTAAGATGATTTACAGAGAAATCAGATCACCTCCACGTTAGTGTCCATCTTTGCCATCACTGATTAACTCCACATTGTCAGAAGACTTGAGAAATCAAGAGGCCAGGTCCTATTTAATTTTCTTCTAGCAAACACATAATGAGCAATCTTTTAACTTACCTAAACTGTTCCTTGTACCGTAAGCAAGCAAAAGGAACGCAAGGAGAAAGCCATAAGGAAATAATTGACCTGATCTGCAGCAAAGCAAGTCTCTCCACAGCCTTCTGTTACCAATAAATTTTGAGACTCTTCAGTGATTTTCACACCAAATAGAACATCTTTTCACTCCTGACTTTAAAAACTACGTTTCCTTCCTTACACAGATTTTTTGCAAACACGGACCACCAGAACCATTCACGCCACAAGTTTAATCTATTTGGTACCCCCGTAAAATGTTCAGTTAGATCCACAAACGTGTAAGTTGTCCAGCCTTTCTACAACCAATAGGAAAAAGGATTGTCTAACTGTACTGAAATGCACCTTTCAAAGTCATTACAAGTTAAGCCTGTAACGACATTACCTGTCATTTCTTTAAAACAAACATTCAGTTATGCCTTTATTTTTGGAAAGGTGTCACTAGAACGACACAAACGTAGTGGGTGTAGGGGAAATCCCAGTACAGCAATCTAGGTGAACTGCAGCAATTTCACTGTCTTGAAAAGAACAGTTTAAGCTGAATTTTTCAGTCTTCAGTCTGAAGTTAACAACTAAATATGAAGATGTCAAGAACGAAGGCTGACAGTAATTTAGAAGTAACAGAACTCAAGCAGCAACTACCAAATATCTGTTTTACCTCGTGGTTTGAGTAATTTGTGACTTTCTTACTGACTGACCTACAACTCCTTAAAGAAAATTCCAAATCCTGAAATAAGAAGCTAACAACTTGGTTTTAGTGAGAGACTGGCAATTCCATTTTGCTCTCCAACAGGGATTCAGGAATTTAATGCAAGCCAAGGCTTCTTTCGGCATCCCGATTATGAAGTTCAACCCTAATTATCCAATCGCTGTACGACACTCTGGAGCTGATTTCACTGCTTTAGGTGGTGGTACCCAATTAAAGCACGTATATACACTATTACAGCTTGGCTGACCAATTTTCTTAATCTCCGAAGCACCTAAGCAAAAGCCTTTTTTAAGATCTTTGAAGATGTGGCAAAGCCAGACTGCAGTACACTCAAATGTTTCTCCAACCCTCCTTCCAAACTCCGGCAGTGAGCAATGTAAGTAGTAACCTCCTTTTTCCCCTTGACAACTGTTTTGTCATTTGTACAGTTACTCCTTAACTCACCAAGAGCACATAGTAATCCTTTATATATACACACCCCCCCCCCCCCATACAGCATAGCGGTTGCTTGGCATCCATGCACTGGTCTGTCATCAGGTAGTCTGGCAATGACATCTTGGAACGAAACACAAACCAACGTATTCTCCAAAATGCTTTAAGAAAGCTAACTTGGACATCTCTACCGCAGCATGCAGCAGAAGTACCATCTATCATTTGCTCCCACTTAGATCTACCACCCCACTGGCTCTGAGCAGCAGTCCTGATGTCACTTCACCTTCCTCTTACTGTTTTCTAACAGAAAAGAAAAATTCAATTCCTAGCTAAGAGGACTTTCCTAAGAAAACTTTCCTGGTTACAGGTCTTTGGCTCCTTCTAAGCTAAGAAGCCACCAGCCCACGAAGGTAGGAGCTGCTTTAGGACACTGCTGTCTGCCACACTACTTGGTGTAATAAAAGCACGCACTTTTTCACTGGCCAGTATGCCTGCTGGCTGGAAGTGTGCCCCAGACTGAGTTAGGGCTCTGATCCTGCCTGAGCTTGACTTTCCAGTGATTCCCAACTAGCCTGACCTGACTCTGCTCTAGCTCAAACCTATTTTTCCGTATCACATGTTGTACAGACTGCTTGCATTCTAAACCTTGATCTTTCTTACTTTACTTTTCAGACTGACACAATGCTTGACTCGAGCTAATATTTTATTCAGCTCCATCCAGTGCCAACACGATTTCCTTTTGAGTCATTTATGACAAACGAGTGGGGGCAGAGGAGGAAGACGACAAAGTATAAAAGAGGAGGTTTAAGCCATAAAGCACCCTATCTTTCAGTTACTTGATAGTATTTGAAACAACAGAAGCCATTAAGCTTCAAGCAAGACATTAAAGTAAAAAGTTCAACTGCTGAAAGAGATGCAAACTATAAAACCTGAGATGGAAGCTCACACTTCTGGTGGACTTCCTTTTCTGCCTAGGGAAAAAAAAAACAAAACACAAACCACACTTCTCTAGCCATTCTGAAACAGACACTGGACTTAGTGCATGCAATATCTCTTTACAAAGTTTGTGCCTTGCATTTCACATACTGTCATCCTCTCCCACCCCACCCAAAAAATAAGTTACTGGAAGAACTTTGGAAGAATATGTAATTATGAAACCATTTGTACAGTCAAGACAGAGCTCAATGTAGAATGTAGCACCTTAAGAATAATTTTCAGCAGTATGCACTAACCAG